ATGATGGTTGTCTTTTTGTCCCGTCTTTTGGTTGGAGGCCAAAAGGAAGCCGACCATTTTCACTCGGTCCCAGACAGACCCTGTTGCCTTGGGCGGTCGAGGGGCAGGCCGCCTCAGTCGCAACTTTCCAGATGTCGCTGGCCCTTCTCCTAATTTATCAAAGGTTCCTTGGTTGATTCCAGAAAACCAGGCGTTTCAAGGTCGATGCCACCTGCTTGTTCCACTTCCCGGAAAATGGACCCACGAAAAAGCTGTGATTCTCAAAAGCAAGGCACATGCGAATTATTTCATGAGTTTCGAGTTTCTGTGTGGTGGGCCTTGTTTTTGGCACTGCGCTAAAACCCGCGATCCGGTCGCAAAGCAGGAGTTGGCCTAAGCCTTGACAAAATTCCGGGGGGCTTGAAGGCGTACCTCTCTGATCCGGCAATGATCTTGGCCGGTCAAGGCCCACCCCTGAACATGTATATACATGTGTATATACCAGGAATTGGACCGCGGGTTCTTGTCCATGTTACCAGGGAAGCCATTTGGGGCTACCCAATTTTTGACAACCACATCCATATCTCCCAAAACCAGCCACATGGTCTTACGCCCGGTGTAGCTCGGGCCGCCTGCTTCTTAACGCCAGATTTGCGGAATCGCTCTCCACCATTAACTTGCTGGCGCGATAGGCAGGGAATGAGAAATGGAGTGACCCTTGTAGACCATCCAACTGGTGGTTCCCTTTCAGGGAATCCCGAAATGGTTCATTCCCGCATCCCCTCAGCACCAGCAAGGTAAAGCAACCCACTTCAAAATCGACCAATAGACATCTCATACGTTCCTACCCAAAATGTGGACCGCGTCCACCTCGGCCCTTGGGCGGCCGGGCGTCTTGGGCAGAATCTTCGGCTTCGGCTGTAGCCTTTCAACGGGCTCTTTGCACTCCCGTCGCTGGAAACCAAACGGGGGGAGAAGAAAACAAAAAAAAAACATGCCTCTCAAAGAGGACGCCGAAAAATCCAGGAGGATTTTCAGATGTTTTAGGAGGTCAGTTCTGCTTGAAGGTCTTGGTGCCGTTGAAGAAGCGAGTACCTCGCAACAGCAGGGAACTGCAAAAGGCAGCTTCCTGAGAATTAGGATTAATTTAAATGACAGTTACTTAGAATGGCACCGTTTCGACCCGCCGCGTTCAGCTTCAGTCCATGTTCTCCATGAATGCTGAAACAAGTCCCTCGATTCCAGGATGCGGGGTGACTTTTGACCATCGGTCCGAATCGTTTGACCATCCATCGGTGCGAATCGGTCCGAATCGGCTGAAAAGGGCAGGTACGGAGTGCATGTTATGGGGATCCACTCCTGAAGGAACAAAATCGTGGGGGGTCCACAATTTGCTTGGCAAAGGGAACCCCTTCAGTTTTTTGTTGGTGATTATTACACGATCGCCAAACAAGGAAAACTGCTAGTTCCACACACGCGGGATAAGGGGACCATTGCTATCCACTAGTTCTGGCGTGTGGTCATGACTGTTTCGAACACGTGTTGTGTCTGACCAATCTGGTGGGGATTGCGCCGAAGATGGACATCCAGCTGAAAACCAATCACTGGTGTGGATAGATTGTTTCCTTGCACAGCCGGACATCGGCTTGGTCGGTTTAAACCCTGACCCATATAAATAGCGAGCCAACAAAACCAGACTTTCAATCCGCTTCGAGCCCACGACTGGTCTACTCACCATGGCAACAACACGAAGCTTTGTTATACATCTATACATATCTTTTCTCGCTTTTTGAGCGTACCCCTTGGAAACCAAAAACACATTTTGTTGGGTTTCCTATCAAAGGACACCCACATATATATATATATATATATATTAACCCTATGGTCACGTGATCCTGGCTGAACTGACCTCTTGCATCCCCCAATCCATCGTTGGCAATGTTGCGGGTTGCGGGTTTGATCATGAGCTGGTCTTGCAAAGGCAATGATTACTCAAGAAATTTATGCAACACCAGCTGGCCATTTGCACAAAGTGGACAAATCGTGGCCAAACTCCGTACACCAAAAGCTAGATCAAATTCTGCTTATGTCATCAAGTTTGTACAATATGTGGGACCCTGGGATGCCTCAGAAAAGTCATGAGGTCCATGACTAAAACTGGACCCGTTTTTTCAGGTTGCCATCCGCTCATCGTCTCTCAAGTCCGGGCTGCCCACGGCCTTCGCGGGCCCTGGAGACCGGGTGGGAATGAACCGTGGGATTCCCAAGGAAACCATAGGATGGATGCTGTAGTTTAGGATCATTGCCTCATTCCCTGAGAACCAGCAAGAAAGGTCTAAGGTTTGTAGCTTTCGTGGGAAAGCCATTTATGGGTCAAAATTGAACCACCACGAATTGGACTGCAGGTTTTAGCCCTTGTTTCCAGTTACCAGGGGTCCAGGCTGGGTATACCTATATTTGACCCACACTCCAGGTCTTTTTGTGGCTAAGGTCACACCTTTCTGGCTGCATGAGTTGATTTGAGTTCCACGCCTTCCAAATGTAGCATATCACGGACAATGGTATGTTGAGGATGTGCTCAATCAACACCCCACGCGGTATATATCTGCTTGTGCGGTTGTTTGTTTGTGTGCTTATGTGTGCTTGTATGTGTGTTTGAAGCAAGTCAGTATCTCTGTTGAATGGGGGAAAAAGGACATCCGAACATGATGTCGTGGGATCAACACCATGTGGCAAGGTCTGGTATCTTTGTCGCCTTGTTCTGTGTAATTTCCTTGTCAGTTCAGTTTGCTAAGCTGCTGTAGTTTACCTCCGCTGCTCAGGCGCCTGCACCGTGCGCACAGAAAGAACGAGAAAGTGATCTCAGTACGGAATCTGGGAATTCCAGGAGCATGGCCCCCCCGTCCTTGGAACTGGGACAGCTGGGAAGCGGTGGATTCTTGAGCTGCTCGAAAAGCAAGCGCCGCGGAACGAGACATGCGCTGGCACTCTTGGAGAAGCTGCGCGGCTCGCCGCGAGTCAACTGATTCAATGGACTCAGTGGCCGGGACGAGGTTCCTTGCCGTTGGCTCAGTGTTGACTTCAATGACTCAGTGGCCGGGACGTGCCGTTGGCTCAAATCCCACATTCAAGCCCTAACCAGCACGTCTGTGGCTTTTGCAGCCTGGACCAAGCCGCGTGGCATGATACTGGCTTCCACTGAATGTCTAACCTGCGTCGCATCCAAGCAATTGCCACCTTCCAACTTCGCTTGGGCTGGTAGTTGCGATCTGTGCGTGTCGGCCGGTGCAGAAATGGTCAGGTCTGCACCGCCTATGCCGATGAAAGCACAGTGATGCAACTGCACTCACCCGTCAGCTAAGCAATGTTGATGCCGAACGGAGCAACCGGGGCCCTTGTGCCGCTGTGCTACATGAAGGAAATCGGCACGTTCACAGTTGGCTATTGCGTGGTGCCCAACTTGTTTTGCTAGCCAAATGATGTTTTTTTTTGAGGGTACCCTTTTTAGAGTTAGTTTTGGAGGGAAACCTAAAGGAAAACCACAAATTTGGGAGGTCCCCCATCTACGAGCTCGCACCAGCCAGCCTTTAGTTCCCATTTCCCCTCTAGAACCAGGGGTGCAAATCCCACCAATCCAAACCACCAACTACGGGTTACCTGACATTATTGTGATCACAGCCATCTTCATTGAACTAGCGGCGTGATCGACCATTTTCTCAAGGAAAGCATCATGAATGCCTGGCATTGCTATGGTCGCTGAAGCCTGGGAACGACCGGCCGGTAAAAGAGCACCGCATGCTGTTGGGGATATCACCTGAGCTTATTTGTTTTGCATCCAAAAAGGGCGCAACGGTTGCAACGGTTTTCTTTTTGGCCTCCTTTCGTATCTGCCAAAAAAGGTTCCCATCGAAGATTTTGTTGATTTTGGTATCCAATGTGTTTAAAGGAAAACCACCATGAATCCCTTGCAAAGTTTTCGGGAGCCCAAATAGGGGTGTGTCTTCAAATAGGGTTCCCCCAATTTGGATTTCGGCGCCTTCCTTTGGGTTGCCCAAGCCAAAACCGAGCCTCACAGAAACGCACCCAGTTCGTCCCATTGTTTGAGGTTTTTGGACCCCGAGAAGAGGGCAAACACGGAGTGTGCATAGAGACCAGCAGGCGGAAACTAACCAAATGCCTATCACCCCGCAGCCCTCGCAGAACCTCGTGGAACCCTGGTGGAACCCTGGTGGAACCCTGGTAGAACCCTCGTGGAACCTTATGTCAGGGCCGCCCCGGACCACCCCGGAGCCTATCTGGGCTGAGACCCCAAAGCTTTCAGCTGTTGGGGGAGAAAAAAAAACGCGCCACTGAAACGAGCCGCCGAAATCCCTTTTTGGGGTTGCCGCGCTTCCCGCCTGCGGCTCCTGGGGTCTCTCCGGCCGTTCCGGCCGTTCCGCCTGGGGCTCCTCGTCCTGAGATAGGACGTGATCTGGTCGGGCTGGCGAAACATGGCCGGCTTCTCAAACGGATCGAAAAACCAAGGGGAGTGTAACAACCAAGGGGAGTCTTACAACCCTAGGCCTTTTGGTACACGAGGGGATTTCAAAAATCGGACGCTGCCATTTGGGAAAATACTTGAGACACGACGTGTCAAAATTGGATTTATGCTCTCCCAATGTGGGTATTTCTGTTGTGTCCCTTTAAAGCCACTGGCACGTCCCCTGGCTGTGGTAAATTTAGTGAGCTCCCCAATGTCCCTCCTAAGTGAACCATGGATGTTTTGACCAAGCCTATGCGCTTGCTCAAAACTCCAAAAGTGTGGGCCATATGGATTACAGGAAAGCTTGCAATGGTCTACATTCCCTACGAACCGGCCCAAACAAAAACCAAAGGGCACCAAAACCACAACCATCAGCTCCAGAACTTTGCATCGGCAGATTTGCATCATTGCATCCGCCTCCTCTGGCTCTCGCCACTTGAGGCTGATGTCTTCTTCAGTCTCTTCCCATTCCCCTGGCAGAGTCGCCAAGCCACTGCAGTCCCAAGCCTTTCTTTCTCACTTCCAGCACCATCTTTTTTCGGAGAACACTGTCACGTGCCCTACTCCCAGAGTTGCGAGAGGAATCTGTCAACCCACAAGGCCTACACTCCAACTCTTTAGTTACTTGCTAAGCTCCAAAATGACAACCTCTCTTGCCAAAAAGAGCTGCCCATCCGGCTGAACGTGCCTTCGGGGTCTCAAACGTCTTACTGACTCGTCAACCAGGCGCAAGGTCTTGGTGGCTGCAACAGAAGCTTTGCGAGTCTGGTGCTGCTTCACGTACGCAAAAGGGCCAAGCAAGCATTTGCATCTCAGGGTCACAACTATATTTACTAAAGTTCGACAACAGAACAACTGACAACCAATCTCCAACAGAAAATCATCAAAGTATCCTGCGTCGCTCATGTGTAAGTAAGTGCCCCAGTGTAAGTGTAGGCATTCAGTATACGACATCAACACCTGAAAAATCGAGATGAGCATGGGGAGGTTCTGTCCCCACTCTGATTCCTGACACAGTTTAGGGGATACTGTATTTCTTTGTCAGGTTTTTGTTGTGACCTTTCGGGGCAAAACAACGACAATCGCCACTTGACTCTTGCGGGGCTGACCTCGACCAAGTGTTCGACCACCCAAAGGACACGGAGCAATGCTGAGGCAATATAGTACCGGGCACATCGTCATATTAGGACTCAATGTTTGTCCGCCTGCTTAGATATGGCGGTAGAATTTGCCGGAAACGTCGGGTTTTGGTTATCACGCGTATGACTCCGATAGCCCAACTTAGCGGAGCTTTGGAGGGCTCCAACTCCATTGGTGTGGGTCATTTATCCGGTAAGAGTATATGCATAGGTACGCTAATCAACAGGATTTGCCGCAGACTTAGAAGCTTTGGCAGCACTGTTTCTTGATCATCTAATTAATACAATGCAAGAGGCGGTGAATCAAGGAAGGCGGCACACCTTTTTGCGGACGGTTGCAATGGGAAACCGAAATAAAACCACCTGGAGAGGGGTCCAAAATTTGAGAAACACCCATGTCATGTGGATATAGCTGTGTTGGGCTTGCGCCCCGACCCGGCCTGGCTTGCGCGCCGACCAGCTTCCTGCGCCAAGTTTTTCTTGGTACTCCGACGCGCGGCCGCTTCGGTTTTGTTGAAGTTGGGTCCTGAGAAAATTGACGCTCGGTTTGCCATCCTACCAGCAACTTCTACAGGGTTTGACTGACTGACATGTTCAATGGCTAAGCTCCCTGTCTGGCAAGCATGACCTGGTTGCCCCACAGCTGCTCTCTAGACGCATACCTATTGTGTGCTGCTTGTCCAACTCAGCAAAAGCGTTGATGACTAGCGCCTATCCAGGCTTCCGCTGGCCATGCTTGCCAATGCACACGATCAGTATGCCCCCAATGCATGTGGGGGATTCCTGTTGGAAGGCAACGTCTCTTGTCCACGCCTTCAATTCAGATAGCACGTTGCCATCATATGTAATATAATATATAATACTTGATCGTGTGTTCGGAATCACGTCAGGAATCATGTTCTCTTTACATCTGAAAATGTGTTGGCATGTGTGACCAAATGAAATTACCACCTGTGTGGGAGGGTGTTGGTGTGTGCGCATGTGTTGAGTACATGTGTGCTTTGTTGTCGAAATAGAAATTGCTCTTTCAAACATAATATTAAAACGATGAGAGCTTTGTCATAGTCGCGTTCCCATTGTCCGCGGGCGCAGGCTTTCTTCGAAACAATGTTCCAACAGTTGTTCGGCCCGGGTGATCGTGTCGCCCTGTGATTGGGGCCCCCTTCTGGATAGTCCTTAAGGACTAGCAAGCTGTTCAAGCGCCTTCCCTGCCCAGTCTGAATGCAATGGCTTTCATGGCTGATTAAGAATCTTGCAAAGGTGTTGTTATTGCCCTCATGTGGGAAACAGCTTGCCTGAGCCGGTCAACATGATGGGAAACAAGGGCTGAACTACTGGTTGTCACTATGAACGAACTGGACTCGACCACTAGTAGGTGTGTATTGGACGGTCATACTGGCACGTTGAAAGGCAAAACAATGAAACAGGGGACAGTCTTTCGGAATGCCAAGGCTGTACGCAAGGCGGCATGAGGCTGCCTATGTTTATGACCACTATCAATATTGGTTTGGGGGTGGCTTACTCATCTCTAGGCAGGGGGTTGAATCACCCGAAGGAAAACTGATGTTTGTGTCTGTACATGGAGACTACCTATGCATCTTTGTGCAATATAATAAACCGCCATGTTCAATGGACAATTGCACTGCAAGGAAAAAGGTACGTTACCATATAGACGCAGGGATAGGGCGGACTTTGCAGAATGCGTCGAAAAGAACGCGTAAGCAACGCAGGATATCTTCGTGTTGAAATTCGATACTAATTTCAGTATTGTCCCCATGGTGCCACATGTTGCAAATATAGCCAATCACACTATGACTTGCTATGCCTTGTGATTGTCGTTAGATCAGAGCCAAATGCAGAAACAATACCGCAAGTTTAACACGAAAACAACACAAAACAACCACACACGCGCGCGCGCGCACACACACACACACACACGGCGGCACACACTCACACATACTTCCCAACACGCACGTATGGAGCCAAACAACCTGCCACAGGTATCCATGTGCATACCAATCTCTGCGTGTGTGGTTGCAAGTCATGGTCAAAATTAGTGATGGCTCCACACCGTGCATTAGTCAGTAGACCGTAGCCCCGTTTACAATTTGCGATTAATATTATCTTTATTTTTTTTCTGGGGGGGAAGTCTTTCCCGTTCTACCAGACAATAATAACACAATGGAACGGTGTTCAGCACAAAAGCAAACCATGCGGATTAACCACAATCTGACTACTCCATTCTGGACAAACACCCCGGCACGCACTAACAGGTCACATGCACTGCCAGCCGCCAAAAGCAAAACGGATGCCCTTACCATACTCTCACACTTGATTCGTAGGCAGCGCACATGGACATGAACTGCTTTGATTGACCTCTCCTTCAAAAGCTTGCCAAGGCCGCCGGGAAAAAAAAAACTGCTTACACTGCAAAGGGCCCTCGTTGCGGCATCCGACACTTAGATGCGCCGCAAGGAGGCCTGACAGGAGGCGAAGGCTTCATCGCGCAAAGACTCCTTGCTGTCTAATGGCCTTTTGGGTGCTTCTTCAGGGCGTCGTCTTTTGGTCGGCTTTCTTAGACCTTGCTTGCTAGGTCTGGCTTCCTTTCTTGGCACCAAGCTTTGCTGGTCTCTTGTTGATTCCTCTTATTGGCATGTTATTGCTTTCTTCCTGATCCTGTTTTTGCGTGGGTCCCTGGTCTTTGTCGCCGGTATCGGATCGTTTCTTGCCGGGCGCTCTATCTCGTGTCAGTGCTTCCTCCTAATGCACTGGGGAGGCTGCAGGCACATAGGTGGCCTTTTGGGAAAATAGATGGCCCTGGTAAATGGAACAAAATCCATCTGAACCAGTGCCATCTGGCCATGGGTCAAAACCCCGTACCCAGTGAAGATCCTAATCCCCACTAAAATAGACCAACATGGAGGTGCACCTACCCCAAAATGCTACCATTGGTTTTAGCCCACAGCCATCTATTTGGACCAAAGCAATCTGAAAAGGACACCCATCTGAGTGAATTATACTATTTCACCAACCTGAAATAAGGTGGTTGGGGGGCTGTTCCCCACATAAACCACCATGTGGGGTGAGGTCGTGTGAGGTCGTGTGAGGTCCGTACAACTCACCCAGACCTATGTGCTCATCGGACATCCGGCCAGAGCTTTTTCCGGAACCGCTCCTTCGGCTTCAGCGCCGTCACCTTTCCAAGTGGACCAGTCCCATTTCGCCTGGCGCCCAAAACGGCAGAGGCGCTGGCAACCCGTGGAACCGCCCCCTGCGCCGAATTCCCCGAATTCCTTCCCCCGCATTTTGCTCCATCCACAAGGCGCCGGACTTGCAAATCACGCAAAATGCGAATCATCTGGGTGTGCGTGTTTTTTTGGGGGGAACTCGCTTATTTGGTTGGGTTTTAAAGGGACATCTATAAGAATAATCACCATGTTAAGGATGCCTTAATTTTGAGACAGATCCCATGCGCCGTGTGCACTACCGCCTTTTTGCAGTGGAATGATCATCCCAATATCCCCCAGTAAACCCCAGCATTCCTTAGTAATTAGTATGTTCTTGGTTTATTCGTAGTAATCTCTCCCAGTATTCCCCTAGCTTTCTCCTAGCATTTCCTCTTGTTATTCCCCTGGTATTCCCTTATTATCCCCTCAGCGTTTCCCCAGTTCTTTGCTACTCAGAAACTGGAGCGCAAATGCAGGATACCAGGCGAAGTACAAAGGGGAATGCTGGAGAATACTAGGGGGACACCAAGAAAATACTAAGGGATACTGAACAATATCAGAGGAATACTAGGGGAATACAACTCTAGGGGTAAGGGAATGCTAAAGAAATAGGGGACTATTAGGGGAATACCAGGGGAACACAACTCTAGGGGTGAGAGAATTCTAAAGGAATAGGGGACTATTCGAGGAATAGTAAGGGGAATGCTGGGGGAATATTACGGGAACACTGGTGAATACTGTGAAAATGCTAGGATAATACAGACTACTTGGGGAATGTAAAGGGAATCTCGGAAAACACTGAGGAAATACTAGAGAGTACACCAGGAGAATGCTAGAGGAATAGTAGGGGAATATTGAGGGGAATACAGGGGGTCTGCTAGGGAATTTCTAAGAAGCTACTAGGGAGAATATTGAAGGAATATTAGGGGCACACTGAGAGAAGATCAGCGGTATACCAAGAAAATACAAATGGAATGAGGGGAGTACCAGGAGAATACTAGGGGAATAAAAGGGGAATACTAGGAGTATATTAAGTGAGTACTAGGGAAGCACAAAGGGTGAATACTTGAAAAACAATAGGGGAGTACTATACTTGGGAATAGTTACTAGGGGAACACCGAGGAGATACTACAGGGTATAACAAGAGAAAACTAAAGGAACTTTCTGAGAATATCGAGGGGATGATACAGTAGGGGACTACTAGGGGAACACAGATTACCAGGAGAATGCTAGGGAATTACCAAGGAAAGTCTTGGGGAACATTAGGGGAACGCTGAGCGAATATTAGAGGTATACTAAGAAAATACCAAAGGCACACTGGGGTAATGCTGGGAAAGGGAGGTTACTAATTAGGGGAATACTGCGGGAATTCTGAGGATCTTTTAGGGGGAAGCGAATAGCAAGGGAATCCTTGGAGAACACTGATTGCCAGAACGCGTGGGGGAGGAAAGATGCTTGCAGTGGGTGGCCTTCTCCAAAAAACACCAAAGACCGCATGTGCGAGCAGAGGTGCATCCATCTATGCCAAGGTGTAAAAAAGGCTGATTTCAAAAACACAGGCCCCATGGCGGCTCTCTCGGCCCCTTTGGGGGGCAACAAGCCACAAAAGTACATTGTAGGGGATGCGCAAAGGGATTCCCACCAAATGGGCGAATTGCCCAAAGGAACTACCTCAACCAGCCGTGTTCAACTCTGAACAGGTTGAAATCAAGAAGCACTTCTGGCTGTGCCGATAGGCATCCATTGCCATTTGTGTCAATATCTGCCTCTCCTTCAAGTGGTTGATCTCGTGCAAGCATGCAAGGGTCCCCATCCTTTGCTAGTTTGGCATTTGGCGTGTCACTGGCTCTCGGACACTTGGCAAATGAAGCACATCTCCTTCAGGTGATCACTGTATCTTGGTGCGTGAATGCTGAAGATTTAGGGCTTTGCAGCTTGTACCTTCAAGAATTGCTGCCTCAAGCCATCCTCCCAATCAGTCGACCAACCTTTTGCCCGCTTTGCACATTGCGAGTATTAAAGTTTGGAAAACAGCCGCTACTGCGACCATCGCACTTGTGCCCATGCATCCTTTGCAATCACATGGTACCACGATTCAGCGCGTCTGCATTAGTATCCTACTGCCACTATCCGCTTGAACACTGCGCCACCAAGAGGTGTTGGGGATCCATATACTCAATAACCCAGGCTGGGGGAGTATGAAAGCAACATGCTCGTCCTCTATGAGTGAACACTTGCCTGCAAGTTCATGTCATGGAGATCCCAGGCAAACTGCTGACCGTTCGGTGCTCTAGTTCAGGGCAATTTCCCTTTTTTCGCAAGCAAGAGTTTCTCAAAAGGATTGGGAGCATCAGTTCAATGTGGGTATGAATTTTAATTAGGGACCCTTTGGTGGATAGCATTTAGGCGGGGATTTATGTCCACCAACCACTTTTCAAGGGGTTCCCCTTCAAAATTCATAGCCAAAGGCGTCTTTTTCAAAACAGGTGGCCTTTGTCAGACTCCAGCCAACGCATGGCAAAGCCCAGCCATTGACTCCAAGTGAATATCGAGTCCAGCTTGACCCATGGGCTCGCGCCGGCGCCGTATCACTCAAAGAGAAGCCCCAAGACACGACAACGCACATGCCACACACAAGTTTGATTCCCCGATCAGGAACGAGGAACTCCAAAGAATCCGGAACTCTCACTATTCAATCTCAGTGGTGTCACCCGCCCACGGCGGTCTTTAGTTGCGCACAGGAATCCCAGGTTGAAGTTGAAGCGAGATCCCGCTGAAGCAACTCCCAAGGCACCCTGAAGTGAAATCGCTCTGGTCACTTTCCCACCCTTCGTGAGGTCACCATTGGCTTCAAAGGATGTGTTGCTTGCGGGCACGTCTTGGCTCTGCCCTGCGCCCCTGCACTTCTTGCGAGCGTCTTGCCATGGAGACCGGATAGCACCCAGGGAGCCGATGCCTTTGGGAAACTGCATTCGCCCCGTGGGTACAAATATAGCCCAATGATGTCCTGCAAGAGTTTTCTCAAGTACCGGTGTTGCCGGGCCTTGCGCAAGGCGTGAGTTCGGCACCCCGAAATGATGGGGCTCGTTGTTGTTCACCTTTCCACCGAACGATTAACTGCAAAGTCTTGGCAGAGATGGTCCAGCCAACTGTCACATGCGTGTGACGCGGAATGCTTTAAGATGCAGTGAGCATTGCTAACCCCTGAACCTGACAAAATAGTTATGACGCCAAGCAGCTGCCAAGGATGCAGCCAGACTTTCCGGTCTTCCGACCCTCCCCCTGCTGCGTCATGTTCCTAGAGCCATTCGCAAGAGCTACACTATTCAAGGGAGAACCCGACCGAAACCCAAACAAGCGCTCGCACACAGAGAGATAAGCAATCCTTGCAGCCAGCCGGCCCTTCAGTGCTATCGCTGTCGATCCGGTGCCAGTGGCCCCTCAGCGAATTCGGCATCTTCACGCCGAGGCCGAGGCCTGTTGGCACACTTCAAACATGGTCTCCGGGGGGGTTCGCGAAAAAAAGCGGGCAGCCGGTCGGCCCGGTCTCTCTCACTATGTAATCAACTCTTTGCTCAGAGAGGCACTCTGTCTCTCTCCCCCTCTCTTTCTCTCAAATTGCTGGGCGGGAATATAGGTGCAACTGTTTGCCCGCTGCCTGCAATGGATCAATTGTCTCGCTTGAGCCTCTCCGGTTCCGAGTGCTAGAGACTGGTTTGTGAGGACACCGACTGAACATGTTTCAAAACGTAGCATGCAACAGCTCCATCAAAATAGTTCTTCAACTAAAAACAACGGACTTTTGCCGCTTGTCAAATCATAAACTGTTCAGAAGCCTCCCTGAGCTGGAGTTGATCCGCTCCGCTTTGACCCGGCAAACGCCTCAGCCATTGCCGAGGTCAAGTCCGGATGCGATCTCTGCGTGCAGGTCTACGTAGCGTGCCGGAGGCGACACACTTTCGGGTTGGGCTCAGCTTAACAAGGCCCACCTTCTTGGAGAAGTTTCCACCCACAGTGCGAAGACCTGGAATGCCTCGAATCATATGCCCTTCTGACAAAGTGTGGTCCCGCCCTGACATATGATCTACTTGACTTGTTTACGCAGGGGAATGATATCAGAAAGCAGTCTTAGATGAATAATATTTAAGAAGGGGAAGCAACCTGACTCGATATAGTGCAATGAACAAGTGGGCAAATCTGGTGCTGGGACGCGGGTAAGACTGCATAAGGTTGCACAACAATCGGGGGCTGTCAGATTTGGCAGAAATGTGGAACTTGCTGCACATTCTACTGACTGCTTGGGCCAAACTAAGATCATTTCCCAAGGCAACAACTTGGAACACAAGAGAGAAGCAAAAAGCGAGACGGCAAAATTGAAAGCAAACTCTCGCAAAGCAGATTGGTCGCCAAGTTTGACCAAGGTGTGGCCTATATATCACTGATGTGTGCAGGCTCAGACAAGCGAGCATCTCGAAGACTGTTACGTCTGATCCAACTTTGGATGGCGACACCTTTTCCAAGAACGGCTAGGGTGAAACCTATATATATTAAGATGCATGGCATGAATCCCGCCTGATGCAGTCTGACAGGCTCCCGCAAGCAAACTTGAACAGCGCGAACCATCTGTTTCACCGAGGTAGCAAGCAACTTTCAGGAGTCGCTTGGTCTCATGAGAACCACGCTTGTCTGAACATCATGCTGAATCAAACGGTGGATTCCTCGAAATAGCAGGATGCCCAGACTGTACAGCTGGAGCAGCAGTGTCCATGCACGTGACAAGCTGGTCTCCTGCTGCGGCAAGATTCATTTTCTAGACAAACGAGAATGTGTCGAAAGCTTCAGGACCGCAAGGTTGAGTTCCTTTCAGAAAGCCCTACATGCCATCACACAGAGATTTACCGAGCTTATCACGTCCCCTTTCCCTCGTAGCTTTAACCTAGTCTCTGACGCCAATTCGATCGGCATCTGGCGATCCCCAGCTGCTTTCCTCGTCCAGT